GAGAGGGAAGAATCCCGTCGCTTCTCTCTCTCTCTCTCTCTCTCTCTCTCTCTCTCTCTCTCTCTCTCTCTCTCTCTCTCTCAATCCCTGTCCGGGAATCGAGGTGAGGGGGAGGCTGGGGAATGGTAGACGGGCAATAAAGAGACGAATTAATGCGGCCCATGGTTTCCTTTATTTTATTTTCTTACGCAGCCCATATGGTTTGATGTACAGAGAAGGAAAACAAAGAGAAAAAGAAGAACAGGTAAAGCAATCATTAGGGGAGAAAAAGAGAATATAAAATGAACAGAGACACACCCAGTCCATGGGGGTGCGCGGTACACACGTAAACTCTTGATAAACAGGCCTGAATTCGAATCCCGATGGAATTAGATGAACAAAATAACTAACTCTGAATTATCTGAGGCCGATTAGTTGCAAGATGATACCTGAAGGCTGTCGCCATTTCAAAAAAAAAAAAAAAAAAAAAAAAAAAAAAAAAAGATGCTGAGGGAGGCAGGGCGGAGTTGTAAGGTGGAGAGAAGGACAGGAGAGGGTATCGGGGGACAGGTTGGGAGAGAGATGGAACCGGGATTCGGGACCATGATCCAGGGCCCGTTCACAGGAGCGATTGACACGTGGCACAACGGTGTTGACACCCGTGAATAACCAGTTAGGTCCCCGTGAATAACCAGCTAGGTCCCTTCTCCTCTTCTCCTCTTCTCCTCCCTTTGTTCCCCGACGCACTGAATTGGTTGTCCAAAGCGCGCCAGGTGTTCGACCAGCTCATGCAGATGGTCCCACCTCCCTTACCCCACTCTTCTCTTCACCTCTGCGTTCCCAACATCTCAGTCTCTCGATTGTATCATCACCCACTTCCCGTCCTCTCTCTCCCCTGTACTAATTAGTAGCAGTAACCAAACGCCAATTCTCTAGCACACAGACTTCTCTCCTCCTAGGTCAGTCACCGGATTAGTTGCCCTGTTCTTGTCTCGTCGCCTTCCGTTCTCCACAGTTCCCCCTTTCTTGCAAAACAAAAGAAGAGATAAAAAAAAGGAATGAAATGATCCTGAAATTCCCTGTCACAACTTTCTGAGGCCTGCTTCTTGTCTCCACTGCTCCGCCTCATCCTCCTTTCCCTCCTCCTCCTCCTCCTCCTCCGCCTCCTTCTCCTCCTCCTCGTCGAGCAATCACTCTCTCCTCCTCCTCCTATCACTCTTTCATCCTCCTCCTCCTCCTCCTCCTCCTCGACCAATCACTCTCTCCTCCTCCTCCTCCTCGTCGAGCAATCACTCTCTCATCATCATCCTCCTCGTCGAGCAATCACTCTCTCCTCCTCCTCCTCCTCCTCCTCCTCCTCCTTGAACAATTACTCTCGTTCTTCTCCCCATCCTCCTTCACTAGTCGCTCCGCTGCTCCTCCTCCTACTCAACCAATCACTGTCTTCCTCCTCCTCCTCCTCCTCCTCCTCCTTCTCCTTTTGCAGCCACTTTGTTCCTCCTCGTCATCTATCGTAGGTTTCATTTTCCCGCCCTGCATTTCGTGAATCGTCCTCGCATTTGACGAATTTTGGGCTGGGAAGCAGATTGTGGGTATGAAGGAGAGTTCTAATCGGTGAACATGGACGAATGAAAGGTATTCTGGTTAGGAGAAAAAGGGGACTTAGTGGGGGAAGAGGAGGAGGAGAGGAGGAGGAGGAAGACGAGGAGGAAGAGGAGGAAGAGGAGGAAGAGGAGGAGGAAGAGGAGGAGGAAGAGGAGGATAACGGGCAAGCTATGATCCAAAGAAAAAGTATTCTGGTTGGGGGGAAAGAGGACTTAGTGTGGGACGAGAAGAGGAGAAACAGGAGGGGAAGAGGAGGAGGAAGCGGAGGCGGAGAACTATAAAGAACGGAAGAGGAGGATAACGGACGAGCTATGATCGAAAAAAAAGGTAATAAAGTATGGTTCATAAGCAAGGGGACCAGCAGGAGGAGGAGGATGTCGAAAGAGAATGAGAAAGATAGCGAGGAAGAAGGGAAAGAAGTTGAAGAGGAGACTTAGAGGATGAGACCAGGGCAAGGCAGAAGAACAATCCACAGGACGAATGAGTACAGTCCATGTTCTTTTTTTTCTTTTCCTTTTTCTGACGCAGCCCATGTGGGTGTGTGTACAAAGAAGAAGAAAAAAAACAGGTAAAGCATACATGGGGCGAAAACAAGAGAGCATAAAGAACAAAGGGAGAGACACATAGCCTATGTGGCTGCACGGTACACCCACCAAAAAGGGAGCGATACATAGCCTATGTGGCTGCACGGTACACCCACAAACTATCGATAACGGACCTGAGTTCAAATCCTGATGAGGCCGATCACTTCGACGACGATACCTCAAGGCCGTCGCCTTCAGAAAGAGAGAGAGAGAGAGAGAGAGAGAGAGAGAGAGAGAGAGAGAGAGAGAGAGAGAGAGAGAGAGTGTTTGAACACACGCTGAGGAGGAAGAAAGGGGGAAGGGGGGGAAAAGAAGAGAGGAAACAGAGAGGAGGCAAAGGGAGGAGGAGAAAGGGGGACGAAGGGAGGGAGAGAGGGGTGCATATAGAACGAACGGAGAAACTCTGAACGGGGACGGGATGAAGGGAGAAAGGGGTTGGGGATGGTGCGGGGGGAGAAGGGGAGGAGGGGGGGCACGGGGCAATGGGAGGGGATTACGACAGAAGACGGAGAAGAGATGAAGAAAGGAGAGCCAGGAGAGATTCATAAGACGGGAGCAGAGGAGGAAGAAGAGAAAGCGAAAGAAAAAAAAAACAGGGACCAATAGCCTGAACAGCGTAATTGGTTGAACGAAGAGTAAAGGAATAGGGAAAAGTAACAGCAGGAGGATGCAGAGGAGAAGGAGAAAGAAGAAGAGAGAAATTTTGATTATTGCTGCCACGCCGCAATTTCTTCTTAGTCTGATTGAGAAACCCCTCCTGGTGTGAGCAGAGCATGTACTATTCCCAGAAGTTGGATCCCATAACTTAAGAAGGAGGGCTCACATGGCTGAGTCTTAAAGCATACACACACTTACGCAGACTACCACCGTTCAGCTTTTTCAATGCACTCCGATGCACACTACCTACCGTCCGGCTGAAAAAAAAGAAAAAAGAAAAAGACAAGGCTACGACCTTGAGATATCATCATCATCATTTGAACTGACCGCCCCAGGTAATTCAAAATCGCAGTACTTTAATCATCTGCTTCCAATGGAGTTCGTACTCAAGTCTGTGTTTCAACAATTGAGCGATGAAACTCAGACCAAGGGTGTACCAAGTGTACCAACTACGAAGGATTCTCACCCTAATTGCAGTCCTACACTACCGTTGTGTAGGCCATCAATAGTTGTGTAGGCCCGTTGGGTCCATCCAGCTTTGTCAATTGAAGCTCAAGGATTCTCACCCTAATTGCAGTCCTGCAGTACCGTAGATCCTACTACTACGTGTCCGATTGACACGTGGCAAAACGATCCAAGGGATGCATGTGTGTGCAATCCATTGGGGTTGGGGCATCTATTGGTCTATACGATGACGAAGCCTACGATTCAGCAACGTCTTTAACAATCCGCAAAAAACGAGTATTTCCAAAATTGTGGATGCATTGGATTCAATTCAATCTCACCCTAATTACAGTTGTACACTAGCGTAGATCATACTACGTAGACTTATGTTGACACGTGGCAGGGGTGCTGGGGCCGGGAGGGGGGTGGGGGAAAGTGTGGGTTATGTTAATGGTAGTGGGCGGTGAGGGTATGAGGAGGATAGTGGGAGGAGCACGGTGTCGCCAATGTGGCCGTAGACCACTATTCAGCGGGGGGTGGAGGGGTAGGAGGGGGTGTGTCATTTGGGAGAGGGGGGTTCAAAGCAGGTTGTGTGGTAGGGTTGGGGTGATGTATCATTGTGCCTTCGTTCTGTGCAGCGAGCCCTTTCTCTTTCTCGTTGGCCATCGCTGCTCAGGATGAAGCAGCACGTTATTGGCGCTTGAAGCTACAATTTGTACGGTTTGGAGACGAACGGAAGGGATTGAGCAGAGAGGTGGGGGAGTGGGCGTTGGTAAGGGAGAGAGAGAGAGAGAGAGAGAGAGAGAGAGAGAGAGAGAGAGAGAGAGAGAGAGAGAGAGAG